AAAAAAAAAAAAAAAAAAAATACACGTAATGTACTCGTTTATACGCTGTATATAATATGTACGTTACGGTAACCGTTTTGTGGAATCGGTTAATGTCGTACACATTAAACGCGTATACCGACCCATTTCGCGCCGTCGATTTCAATATTGGAGTGTATACCGGTTTATTATCGAACGTCAAAGGTGAGAATATCGTTTGCCGTTTTTTTTTTTTTTTTCGATATTTCGATTTTCACGCGAGACGGGACGGTTTTAAAATTGCAACGTTTTACATATTATCCGTAACTCGCTTGAAAATAAACAAATATCGAAAAAAAAAAAACCGCTAACGTACAAAACATTGACAATGTCCTTGTCTTTAGGGTTCGACAATGGACAAATACGCCCTGATGGCAGAACTAACAGCGCACAGTCGGGTTTTCATAACCAAAATGTGTGCGGCGAAGCAACACCGTTAACCGATTTCACGGCGTTTACCGTGACATGTTATAATGTACCAATACAAACAGTTCGGTAACGCGATGCGCAGCGCATGTCCGTACGTAAGCGAAAGGCCCGGCGCTGAATAATTCGGTTTGAAAAAAAAAAAAAAAACAGTCGGACAAATAGTTATTAATTAATTACCCGCCTAATTAACACAAATGAGCCCGGCGAAATGTTTTCGAAACCCGGCGCGCATAATAAAACGAGAAAACTATGTTACCGTTATCGTAGTAAATGGCGTGCCATAGAATAAATGGCTCGAGGTGTAATGCATATTAAACGGGGGATCGGTGACGGTGTGCGTTTCGGTCGATTCAGACTCAAAGGCCAGACACGAAACCGTATAGGAATTATGTTTGACGGATCACAATTTCGAAAACGGATTGCGCTCATCCGGATTCTATTCTACGGTGTGTCGGAAATAGTCATTTCATTTTTTTTTTTTTTTTTAACGGAAATCGTACAAAAATTTGATTTCATTTTTGAAAAATAATCAAAAATTTACCCGAAGCCGTTTGGGGCCGTATGTTTACGACGAAAACAGTTAAAATTGAAAAATAAAATAATTCCAGCGTGTTCTTATTAGCTGAGAATAATCGAACGAATCATAATACGTTTTCAAAATTGAAATCCGTCGAACGCAATTCCTACGGTTTTGTCTGGCTTTTCGGTCAAGAACATCGTAAAAACGGCCGTACCCGTTCCACTCAAGTGCGTAACGATTAGTAAATTAGCGAGAAAGTCTCGTCAATACGGTGGCCACTGAGACGTTGAAGAAATTTCGAATTTTACAAAATCGGAGACAATTTGGAAAACCGTGTAGCAGTCATAGTTATTTCAAATATTGCAACGAATAAATTACTGTACATTTTTAAAGACAGAGTTCGAGTAGATACTATCTCGACGAAATTTTCTAAGGCATTCGGCTCAATCACGGATCATATCTGTCTTATACATATCTCAGATAAATCACGTATTGCAAGTCCACTTTTGTCAACGTTTCACCCGATAGATAGCAATTCGTCAATTTATTCGCTGTTTCGTCGGAGATGTTCAGGGTTACATCTGCACAATGCACATCACCAAGATCGACATTTGTCGCCCTTATTATTTAATCTTATTTGTATCAATAAAGTTTTTTTCGATGCTCCCTCTTGTCGTATTTTACTTTTCGCCGACGAAGCTAAACTTTTTGCCCGGGTTACTTCAACAAGTGATTGCGATGCCCTTCAATTGTCAACCGTCGTAACGGTTTTGTCATCTCGTACAACGCTGTTTGCCTAAATCTCAATGCTGACAAATGTTAATTCATGTCCTTTTCTAGATCCTGGGTACGTATCGACTACAATTGTTGTCTTAACGGCTCATTTTTAACTCGCGTCTTTGAAATCAGAGATTTAGGACTCATAAATTCACCAATTACATCGTTTCGATCATATATTGAATATACAAGGTTCTTGTAAAACCTTACGGGTTCTTAGACTAATATGGCGTCACACTACTAATTTCAACTTGGCGCCCTATTGTTTAGGTATGCATACATTTCGTTTCGCCCTCGTACGAACTACCTTAGATTGTGGCCCGATAGCCCGAAATCCGTTTCTAAGGGTCGAGAAAAATTAATACTAGTTTAACTAGTCCGACATCGGCTTCCTTAGTTTTGCAGATTTTTTTTACTGAAAATTGATTACCCACAGCATCATTATAAGCCAGCCGGCCGTGAAAGTTTTAAAACTCTATTCACTAAAACGGCTAAGGGCGAATCGATTATGTTTGCTCGATATTCTTCATGGTAAATTTGACCCATCCGGCTCCTTGAGCGCACAAGTTTACGTGTTCCAAGCATCCGTACCAGATTTCGTGAGTCATTATTTCACCTTTTATTATTATTATTATTATTTACACTGTTATCTAACAATATTATTTATTATTAGTTTTGTTGGCTCGGCTAGTATAATTTTATGTCTAAAATGTAGAAAAAAAAAAATAATAAAAGAATAAATGTTACATGCGAACCGACTGTGATATTATTATGCACCGTGAATAATATTATGCAAATTCTATACGGCACGGTGTACACTGTAGGTACTCGGGTAATTGTATAAATACGTTGTGCAGGTACAAAGTTATTTGTAAAGTTCGCCACATTTACCGAGTTAAAATATGCATAATATTGTATAGTTAATTCCTACGTAAAAGTATAACAACGATAGTCGGACTGCGGCCCGAGACGAGCGAGAAAAAACAAGAGTGACTCGAAAATCGTTTGCTACGGTCACGAATTTATCAAAATTCAAAATATCATTGTAAAGGAATCGATAATATGTTACCGGAATCGTAAAATATCGGGCAAACAAGTGTGCTTTGCTCCAGAACCGCGTCGTCCTGTCCTGATTTATTTTAACGAGAAATTTGCGAATTATCGTGTCGTTTAAAAGGAGGGAAAAGGTTACAAAGATTAAAAACTTTTTCGTGACGTTCGTTTATCATTAAAACGCGCCATATAAACGCCACAGATTGACGTTTGTACGTCGTCGCAGTGCCTGCAGCTGTCATTATTTTCCCTTATCGAACTTTTAAAACTGAAAAGTACACTTTGCCCGATATTCCAAATTTCCCGAACACATATACTCATATATACTCGTATACTTTTACTGTCTCAGTATAACAAATAAATTGCGGCGTTTTGGGTTAAAATTAAAATAACAAAAATGTTAGAAACAAAATTTAGAGATAATAAGAATATTTTCGAGGACAATACGTTGTTTTTTTCTAAAAAAAATTCCATACAAGGAGTTACAGAAGTTACAATTTAAAAGAAGCAAAAATTAACGTGGCTGTGTGAAATTTGTGTATGGCGGGTTTTTTTTTTTTTTTCAAAAAATAATAAGACGAAATATTTTTGGACGATGTATGCGCTATATTACCTATAAATTATATTGTAATAACGACCGTTTTAAACGTTTAAACTCTCGGGAAAAGGTAATTCCGATCGATTTTATACTACAATAACTCGTTGTGTCGCCTATACAGGTATATCTTATACGCGCATTGTGTTCAGTGGGGAACGGAGAAAAAATGTGAATAAAAACGTAATTTTCGTCGGTCGCAAACCGTATTGTTGTTAACTTTGGTTTAGAGTGGGAAAGGGCCGATATGGGTAAGGTAGGTCACTGAGGTTGACATCTCAGTGGCCGTTTATCAACGATACGAGTGAATAATGTAATCTGTGCGGGCATTTGTAGGAGGGGAAGTGATCGCCCTACCCGGTTTGAGTGCGAGCGCACAGGGAATCGATTTAACGTCAACGTAAAACGTTATGAGCCGTTCGATTACAAAAAGAAAATATTTACACATATAATATAACATTTTAAGTAAGCACGTCGTAGAAAATTGTTATGATCTTAGTGCACCGTCGTCGTTCGTTTAAAATCGAATGTTTTTATGATAATATAATAATAATAATAATATTAATGTTGTCTATACAAAAAGGCTCCGACTTTTCGCCAGGCATTGCCGATGGGTGATTCCCGTTTAAATTTGAGATATTATCCACTACTGGTTGAATTGGTTAGGACTGTTAACTTGGAAATAAAGTAGGCATGTAACGAAGTTACCGGTTACTTATTAAATAATAATAATTAAAAATTAAAATTTCAAGTTGTTTTAAACGTTGAAATGGAAGCCAACAAATCAATCACTTATACAAAATAAAGATTTTTGAGGTGATCATTTGAAGAAAACTTTTGTGGGTTGGTTGTTTCTGCATAACGCCATTCAAGTGTGGTATTTATTGTATAAATATATGTATTAAACGGGAACCGATTTATCTCACCTTCATATAGTACTTTTTTCAAACGGGAAGCAATTCGGCATGTGGGATATGGACTCGGGAATGAATTTGGCATCAGCCCTGCCTATTACCCCTAACTTCCGTAAAACCGGAATCTTCGATTTTACCCGTCTATTTATTTATAAGAGGATGTCGTCTCAATGACACGCATTCGTTATAATTGAAGCCCGCAGTTGTGATTTACCTAGATAAATTTTCTAGATTATGTACAGATTTTTATCTTTTATCTTATCTAGATGATTAATAAACTATCCAAACCGTTATCTGAGATAAATTATTGAATCGTCTAGATAAATCCATCTAGAAACACGGTTTAATTACGAAATGCAAATATCTATCAATTAATCAGCTAAACTTTTAATAATTATAACAATGATAAAAAGTTTTCGATTATAAATTATGTATTTTTATCTGGATTCTAGATCATTAATATATTTACCATCTTTCGTCATCATATAGACATTTATTCTAACATAATTGTTTTATTCAATCGCAATTATTTATTTAACAGTTTTCAAGTGGTGGCTTATATAGGCTATTTTAACGAAATTTCCATAAGAAAGGAAAATCCATTTACTCGAAAATATTCAATGTCACTCTCAGATAAATTTAAAAAGCGGTCCCATGTTATCTAAAAATTATCAAGAGTATATTTTATCGTGTTACGGTGAAATAAACTAATATGTTTATGGGAAAACCGTTTTTCACGGGACAACTTTGCTCTTTCCGTATTTATAGTAGGTGCGTATAGCTTCAAAACATTTCAGAACATTATATACAGTGGAAAACTTTATCTATGGTGTAGCGTGTTTATTTTCGTAATAGCACTGTCCAATATATTTTCATTAGTAAAAGAAGAAAAAAAAAACGAAAAGTTACAAAACAGATAACTTTAATATTGTATTTATGTCGAGAAAAAAAAATAAGCACGCTCTACGACGCTGCAGATAAAGTTCTTGTGTTCTTCTTTATGTTATGTAATGACATTTTCGCGATTCCAATACATTATACGTAAATATGACACGAGAAAAGTAGTCAGTTTTTTTTTTTTTTCACAGTTACGAAGACCAATAAGTCTAAAATTCGTCCTAAAACGGCCGCACTCCTTCCTCTAAAATGGGTACCAATATCGGTCAATAGATCAGTGGAAACGTTTTATCAACAAGGTGATCATCAAAACGTAAAACGTATTTTTTTAGGAAATCGGAGCAAATTTAGAAAATCGTTGCCAACCCTCGCTCCTGAATAACCAGTGAAAAGTAAATCATTTTAACCCTAAAGATTATCCAACGAACGTCCGGGTAAACCAAACTAAAATATATTAACTTAAATGGTTTAACCGTAATTCTGCACGTTCCATATGTATGATTCGATATACTCGTATATTCAAAAATTTCAGTCGGTCATGTTTTTTTATATACTTCGAAGAAATTTATAGTAATAAGAAAGTTTGGCCCTTGGTCATTTTTGACCTCTTTGCACAACGTATTTTGTATACAATAGTATTCTGATACGTAGTTGATATAAGTGCAAGCGTGTGCAAGACCTGATTTAAAAAAACAGAAACTTATTTGTGCACAACTTATTTTGAGGTCTTTTTCAAATAAAGAAACCAAAATGTTATATAAAGGTCATCGGCAAAATGTACGCCACTAAAGTGCAACAACCTCAAATATGAGTAGCCAGTACGGACGTGTTATTAAATACTTAGTCGTTTATCTACCGAAAATATCTTTAAAGAATACTATTTGTATTCATTTTAGATTATGAATGGAGCGAAAAAGCGTTTGGTTTTAAAATTATGTTTATACTTTTTTTCCGTGGACAACTTTTCTACCAGCAATTTTGCTACAAATTACAATGATAGCACATTTGCTGAAAGTAAATCGGACTGGGACGGTACTTTAGAAAGGCCATCTCTTGATAGTCTTAAGATTTTTCCCGATAAATGGACAGTATAAAGGAAAACGCAAGAAAACTGAAAGAACGGGAAAATAGATACAATATTAAAGAAAATGTTTGATGCATATATAAGTTACTTTAGAATAATATGGCATATATATTATTGACAAATCAACACTATCAACTGAACTCCGTTCAGAATCGTTTTTTCGTTCGAAATGGTCATTCGTTGCCTACAGATGTACATTAACTTCCCGTCCATATCCTATATTCCCGAATTTCCATCAACAATACTGACTGCGACCGTCCCCATTATCGTAGGACAGCTTTTTTCATTTTATTATATTTTTTTTTTTTTGTTTTTGTTTTTGTATAGAACAAGAAGGGGACATTAATAATTTAGGGGCTTTGTCCTCGCGGTGAACCGCATGTATATGCGTAAATCAGAGCCCATGTGTATGTGTGTGTATGTGTGTGTGTGCGTGTGCGTTCTGCGCGCGCTCTGTTCACTAGCTGCGGCAACAAGTAGCGTTTTGGACTCGAGCCCGTTCGACACGAAAAGATAATAAGACATAAATATCTGTATATATCCATATAATACTTGTAATGCATTGTATTTATAAACGACGGTAAAACGTTTTGGTCTTATATTATGGTCTCTATAGTGTGCGAAATACACGCCCGGAAAACGATAACCGCGCGTGATGTACGACGTCCACGTGAGCCCTTCTACTTGCGGGTCGCCGCATGGCGCCCGGTCGTTAAATTGATGTCCACGGTGTGTGTTTCACTCAAACGGTAGCGCTAAATATTTTATCCGGACGGTCTTTGACGGGATCGGGCCTTATTTTTTATTTATTTATTTCTTTTTTTTTTTTTTCTTTGAATTCTGAACGGAACGAGCTGGAAGGTATTGCGGGTTTTGCTGTGTTTTTCATTTGTTCGTGTCCGCAAACTACTTTACTTCACCAGAAATCTCGCTCCAATCAAAAACTTTTTATAGAAACTTTCTTGCACCGTTTGAAATCTAGTCGAGGTGCATTGAGTAGGTCAATGGAAATTCGAATTTTAATTTTCGTGCGCCCGTACAACGCAAAAAGAAATGTTTAATCGACGAAATACGTCACGCTATGGTAGGTATGCAAAAAAGTACTGAAAACTTCTCAGAGTTCGTTTTAAAAACAACGCCAGATTCGGTAAACAGCTGTACAGCTATAGTGTCGACGAAAATAATAGACGATATGGCAGCCTACGGGTGTATCACTGTTGTATAGGATAGTACACGGTGTAATTTAAATTTGTGCCAAACGGAAAATCACCACTAAAGAAAAACGGTTTTGGTCGCGTCCGATCAAACGTTAAATGCCGCGATTTTTACGATTTTCGTCGGAAATTAAACGTTGACTGATTGTAACTGGTAATCGCATGTCCAGTCTTCAAAATGGTCGATGGTCGATCTTTCCGCCGCACCAAAATCCACCCCAAACCGATACCAAATAAAAACGCTTTGTCGGAGTGTATTATCGATGTGTATGTACTTTTGTTGTAACAAAAACGTAAACAAACACTTATAGAACGCAAACAATATTATGATATCAAACTCCTACGCTTACAGAAAACGAACGGAAACGACAAAACGCGCTGCGATTAGTACGAGTATTGAGTAGGCTTAGGGATTTCTAGCCCGAAAAAAACATATCAATGTGCTTTAAACAACAACCAAATGTGTACTAAAGACTAAATAATGTTCTGAAAAATTTTTATTTTTTTTTATTAAAATTGTGTTATAAAAACTTAACTATTATTTTTTTTTTTTTTCCATTATCAATGGTACTTACGTACCATACACTTGGTTTTGAGGTAATGATTTGAGAGTTATTGATCAAACGCAATGGTCGTTTGTTAACCAAAGCGAATTGTTTTACGGCAGTTTATTCGACTGTGCAGCTATCGCACACCAGTGCGTGTGAATTAGAACAATGTAAATCGAAAAAAAGCGTGTATAATACGCGCCGTACAATAAGACAAGATATGAGCGTATGTCCGTTTATTATAGCATTTATAAGTATGCAATCACACGCGCGATAAAATCCCTTACTTACGACGAATAGCATTTATAATGTGTAACGACGCTACTTTTTTAATCGTTCGTAAAATAATACGCAAATCCTCGATGCCCATCCTAACCCGAAACGTATGAGGCACCCGATACCCCGCGGTATACCCGCCTACGACGACGGCGGCCGTCGCGGTAATCGTCACACGCGAGCGTTTGCCGACAGAATAAAGAACGTCGTTTTTCTATACAGTGACCGCGGGGCAACAATAATTATTATTGCTGCCGACGATTAACGCGCGACCGTACACGGACTTGGCGAACGGATATTACAATAATTCGAGTTGAAAACGAACGCAGCGACGGCGAGGTTAATCGGGATTCGCGTCCGAAATAATCGGTTTCGTTCTAATATTGAATACAATCGTAATATGTTTCGTACCGTCGGGAATCGATTAAAATGCCGTCTCGCGGACGTCCGTATACAATAATATTACCATAAATCGGCGCACGGACGCACGAAAAATAATACGAACGTGTATAGCGTATTTTATCATTATGGGTTTCGGGTTTCGTATCGCGGCTTTTAAATCGATATCAATTAACGGGAACGCCGGGGTTTTGAAACGCGAATTCGAAACGTCTATAACGCGTCGAATACATACAACGGTTTTGTAAATCCGTTAAAATAGCGAAATCCAATTATTATCCATTCATATTTGTACACCGCGTGATGAAAAAAACCGAGAACTTATTTCGATTATACTTGGTCGAGTCACTAAATGCAATTTGTGCATTGAAACAAATTGCAAATCCAGACCGGTACGATTTATTAGTATTTATTTTAGTAGGGTTTTTTTCGTATGTTTTCTTGAAAAACGTACAAAAAAAAAAAAAAAAAACAGAACAGTCCAGTTAACCAACTACTGCACTTTAATGGCTATTGAAATATCGCGCGATTCGATACGAGAGGAAACGGAAAGAAAAAAAGACATTGAACAAGAAAATTTATCGAAATAACAATTTACCTAAAGACAACATGGGCAAATTGACAAAACGAGTCAGTCGGCGCGTAATACCATACGTGTTAGACAGACGCCATAGACAACAGTGATAATTCATTGATGACGTGTTTTACCCGCGAATTTACTTGGGACAGTGGTGTCGGCACAATTATTGTTTCAAACAATTTCGATTATACATTTTCGTTTGTATTTCAATTTTGAGTCGTTGAAAAACATTTTGCTGCACGGGGTTTTGGGCGGGGGGGGGGGGGGGGTCGGCGGCTTTAAAAATGTCGAAAACTACCGATAACAGTATAAACGTGATTTACGATCGTGCGACGCGTACGGTAAATCGAGACATTTACAGCGGGAAAAAGGGACGAAAAGGTTCGCGCGCTCGCGTTTCTCGTTCGTATATTTCGAAAATAACGCGCCGTTTCGGCATTTGTTTCCGGTGGAAAAGGAACGGCGACGCGCGATCCACGCGCGGGCCGCGTGGCACAGCGCTGCCGTTTACCGGAACGCGTTACCCCGTTAGCTTGTCCGTCGCACGCGCGCGCGGCCGGTAGAAACTGAAAAGCGCCGCCGGTCGCGGGTTCTCGCGATTTTCCGATAATTGTCCCGGTAAAAAGACGCCGGTGCCGGACGCGCCACCCGTTCGAACGCAGCGCGGCGCTGACGGTCAGCAATCCGGCGAAACGCGCGCTTTGCCGCCGAGCCAGTTTTCCAACGTGTCCGCGTCGACGCCGATACGCCGACGGTCGGATCGCCCAGCGCACGCGCGTCGGCGTATTGAATTTTGAAATTTAATGTAATCGCGTGAAATTACTGTTCGCGAATCGCCAGACGAAAAACCAATGCAATTATCCCGTGTCCCCGCCCCCGCGTTCGTCTGAGATTTATCAATTCGTCGGCAGGCGGCAGGTGCGTCGTAAATGCGTTTTGTGGCGGCTGCGGTGAAACGCGCGCGAAAAATAATCGCGAACGAGTGGACGCGCACCCAAATGCTTACGGCGGCGCGGCGAACTGAAATATTCTCGGCGGCGAGGTGTTTCCGTCCGGATTTCCGCGCGCCCGCCGACGGAACCCGTCACTCGCCCGTCACAACGCGCACATTTGCCGCACTCGGAGGTTTGTACACTGAATGTTCGTCGCTTCGGAAGACCGTTTGAAAGAAAAAAAATCAGAAGCGGTCGTCTCTCGACTACCCCCTTCACCGCGCCACCCGGCACGTGGACCGTCGGATCGCCTCGGATTTCTATGTATCCATCGCTGTAAACGAATTATTTTAGTGCCTGCGAAAACGCTACGTTGGTATTGCAAAAATACGGTCTTCGGGTTTTTCGGAAAGACAATTTTTTTGAGGGGTGATAATATTAGTGTTACCCTACTCAGGAACACGCATATTGTCTGAAATCCCCATTGATATTCGGATATAACGATTGGATAAACTGGTTCTTTTCGGGTGAAATAGATTAAAAGATCGAAAACAAGGTCGTCGTTAGGGTAACCGTTTTTTATTTGTTTTCTTTTTTTTTTTTATATAATTGTTAAGTTTTTATTATATTTCTAATCTTTTAATCGTTGTTGTCGTGAAAACGCACCATGTTGCAAGAGCAACGCTATTGCCCGAGCTCCGCTCAGAATCGTTTTTCATTAGCAATGATCGATCGATTAAATTAAATTTCTCTCTATATCCTACATTCCCGGATTCCCACCCACGGATTTTTATTTGATATGTTCTGTGGTGATAGACTAGAAAGAAATGCTTGAAAAATTGACAATAGGTTCATTATGAGCCGTGCTTAGTGGTAAAAAAAAAAAAAAAACTAGTGTAATTTAGTTTTTAGGTTATTTATTTTTTTAAGAGTTTTAAAATCCAATATTAACGAAATATTACGGCTATTCGAAACGTTGCGTTACCGAATTTCGCTCCGAATCGTTTTTCGTTAGCGACGGTCGGTCGCGGGTGTATAAACTAGACGACTCTATGTATCCCATCTTGCCCGATACCCGCCTACAACAGCGGCTCGGCACCCGTCCCCTCAGCCCGGCTATACATTTTTAAACACTCGTTCTTTTTTTTTTTCACCACTCTCGGCCGCCGGTGTATCAATATCGCGCTCGCGGCCGATAGGTAACTCCCATACGCTCTTTTCGACGGAAACGCAGAAAAAAAAAATGAAAAGGTCGACTCCGAAATACGAGCGTCTCTCCCCCTCACCCCCCCCCTCCCTTTCGCCTCCCATTTTGCCCCCGCCCGCTTATAATATACCGTATCGGCGGCGGTTCCGGGTCGTCCCCCTACACAGATATGTGTACGGTCGCGGGTTCGTCGGGGTCGCGTGCGTTTCACACCCGCCGTGAACACGCGCGCGCATATTATTAGTGCACGCAGATAGAGTGAGCGAGCGAGTGAGAGAGAGAGCGAGCGATCGGGAGAGAGAGTGAGCGGGAGAGAGCGACTAAACACTGCCGCCGCCTCTCCGCGATCGCCGAGACGACGGGGCGCGGCGCGGGGAAATCGATGTCACTGGGACTCGCGCCGGGCCGAGCTTCGCCGCGCGTATCTAATAATACGCGGCGGCCGTTCGCGTTCTCGCTCGCTCTCGCTCTCGGCGTCTCGCTACCTCGCGGCCGCCGGTACACGACACTACACCACGCTGCTATTGCCATCGCTAATGCCGCCGCTGCTCTTTTTAACCGCCGCCGCGGTGTCCCCTCGCTCGCCGCGGTCGTTCCGTTAACCGCACGCGTGTACCCCCCCCCCTTACCGTCACGGCCGCCTACGCCGCCGTCGTCGTAGTCGCCGCCGCCGCGGTTTCGGGGGTTCTTCCGCGCGGCCACCGAAATTCATTACCGCGGCCGCGTACGGTATAATAACGTACAGGGTGTCACCCGAATGAACGCAATACCCGCGGCGATAACGGTCGCAAAGTGTGTTGCGGATACACTCTGTTTCGGAATTTTTTTTTTTTTAATTTTTTTACCGACAATTTGAAAAACTACGCGCCGGCCTCTAAATCGTACTGTATTACCGTTGTTTTTTCGTCGATCTTAATTTCGAGGGTTGAGGGGGAAGGGCGAAACGACAGACGACTTTTGATTTTTCAAAGGCCAACTAAACAGACCGCAGACGATCCCGTAAATGGCCGGAGGGTAAGTGTTAAACCAATACGTTCCGGGTGTTTGACGTTTTCGATTTACGTTGGGGTATCCCGCTCTTGGGTTTCGGTAGGCGCAGAATAGCGGAGCGCCGTTTGAAAAGTACTCAACTACAACCCCACTTGCCTAAACTACTGACGATTTAAAGAACCTTTATCAATATAATAGGTCACCGTTTGAAATTTAAAAATTCGGAAGTCGTTTTGCCTAAAGAAGACGAAAAATAACGATAATGGAAAACGTTAAAGTCACTCGTTTTTTATTTTTTAAATATTGTCAAAAAAAATGCATACCTTCCGATGTATCGGAACAGACGCATCTTCGCGGAACACCCTGTACACACGCGAAACAGCTCTTGTGTGTTCGCAATAACAATAACAATAACGACGTCGACAACAATGTTCGTTTATTTATCTGCTGGAAGGAACGAATTTCAAAGGAACTGGATCCTTTGATTTCGTTCGCCTTTCAGGAAATTATCGGGACAGGTCGTAGTGTTGGAATTTTTTTCATTTATCGGAAAAAATATGAGCGATATTTTTTTTCTCAGATAAATCTACCGAATTCAAATATTGTTTTCAAATATACGTGTTTATTTTTATCTAGAATTTTTTCTATATTAGATATTTTTCATATTTTTTTTTTTCTGTTTAGACTTATCAAAACCTTATCGCCTCGTCCTTTCAAAAATTGTGATGACGCTACTGGCCCGGGATTTTTTCGACTTGAATTGCACACAATTCGATTAAAATAATTAAAATACGAGGAGAAAAATTCGAAAAAACCGTCAACCACGACGATCCCGCAGCTTTATGATAATACTCCTCGCGGTAGGCAATACGTCACGCTCCGTTGGGATTATAGTGACGGGCACTTCCGGACTAATTATACTATCAATATTCTGAATTAACTGTCAAATGTCTCATTCGGGTAGTTATTCCGACAACAGGAGCACCTAGAACTATGCTAAAACTATGGACACATTAAACGGGCCGTGGGGTCGAACGGGACAATTTTCTTTACGCCACTCTTACAATAGAAGTAGGGCTATGAATTTTGTAGGAAAGTACATATAATCGATAGCTGATTGTGAAACGTAGCTTTCTAAGCACATAGTTTGAATCGTGTGACAACAAATTCATTTATGAAACTGTTATTTTTCATTTTTTAATCTATTTCATTTTCTTAAGTCAAATGTTTTTATTAAATAAATACTTTTGTATGTGTATAATACACTTATATCAGTGATATAAAAATTAAATTTTTCGTCCTGAACTAGTAACGACAAAAAATAACAATAAATAACAAGGCAGGTACGTAAAAATAATATTGAGTTATATATTCGATATTATTTAAAATACATTGGCTGAAAAAAAGAAGAAAAAATCAATATTTTAGTAAATATTAAATATGCATAATATATGCGAAAACCTATGGAATAGGCTCACGTTTTCTCTAAAGTTAACGAAATATGGAAAATGTGCATTTTAAACGTTCGATTTTAGATTCTGAGTTGAGCGAAGAAGCGTATGGTTTTACAAAGATGTTTATTTTTATTCTTCTGTGGCCAAAATTTTCTACCAGAAGTCTTGTTTCGATTTTTAAGTGCAGCACTTTTTCTGAAAGGAAACTGGACTGGACAAGTACTTTAAGGAAGTAATTGTCCCAGGAGTTTCCCAATAAATGTGAAAAATCGGGGAAAAACATAGGAAAACCGTAGGAAAAATGGGAAAATAGATACAATATTAAACGAACATTATCGAAGAAAATGTACAACGTCTATGTAATTATTTTACCGTAATATGACAATTATATATTGTTGACGAAGCACCACTATCATATTGAACTCCGAACTCAGAATCGTTTTGCATGGTTAATAACGGTTTTCAAACCCGCTGTCGTACAGAGAGAATTTATTTGCTCCGTCTGCCATAAACCCTGCAGCGAAAATATGCAACTCCTACGTAACTCCCGAGCCCCAATCATTATTATTATGTATTATTGCGAACACCGGCCGAATCATTATCAACAAGTGGTTAATCCTCTCTACTCTATGATGTATATATAATAAATCCTACTGGATTTCCAACTGCCAATGCAGGATTATTGTAGCTTTGCGTTCGTTTTTTTTTTCCCCCTCCCGCTCACGTCTGATACCGGCCAACTTCTATTATTGTATAATATCGAAGTTTAGTAATGTGTTTTCCTATAACGATATAATAATACGGTTTAACGGAAAAGCAAAAGTGTCGGGATTTCCGAGATCCGAAATAATCCTTTTGCGCGAGTATCGACACTCGTGGGTTCTTGCAGCCTCTTAAAAATAATCTCGGCCAAAGTTTCGCGTACGGGACGAACGTAACTTTCAATGCGAGAACTACGCGATAGGAAAGACACACCCGTCAAAAGCGCGCAACTTCACTTAATTACTTGTTTTTATAATCTTGCCAGTCTTGTATTATTATTATTAATATTATTTTTTTTTTTTTTTTTTTTTTTTTTTTTTTAGTATTCTATGCAGAATGTATACATGCGTAGCCAAGTATAATAAATGTATAATAAAAAAGTTAACGCTCTGTGTACACTCGCTATAGTTCCATTTTTTTTAATTGATTTACTTGATTTTTTACTTGATTACCGTTACAGTCAATAATAAGGTATTCACAACGTTATTGTGTCGGATTATAAGTGTACTTCTCGAATATTCTTTTTTTTACCCTCGTGACAATGGGAAATAATCAATAGGACAAAGTTCGACTTCCGTCGCGTTCACAGTCCGAAATTTAAATGCGAACGGCCCGTACAGTGATTTAAATTTTAAAATCCGGTTTCAAACGTCTTGTCGGACCCTCGTCTGTCCGCCCGTATGGAAATTTCGGATATCTGCGTAAACGCTGAGTGTACCTGCCTATAGACTTTTGCCCGCACGTCACAGACGCGCGCGGCACACTTCATTCCACCATAATTTGTAGATTTTCGTTATCATCGTAATTATTGCAAAATTACTCGTACGGATTATATAGAACGGGACGTTGTTACCCGCGCGTTCGCCGGTCGAAACTCGTTCAATCGATACGTTAGAACCGTTCGAAATTCGAGGGGTGCAGTAGGGGGGGGGGGGGGGGGTGACCCGCTAGGTATATTTTCGGGGTCCCGCAGGCTTTTCATTTTCGCCCGAGCAACGCGACGGCTCCGCGAACGAAAACGTCGGCGAAACGCGTTCCCATGCGAGCGCGCGCACTGCCCCGCCTAAAAATTAACGCGGACGCGCGCGGTGGCTGTGCAACGCCCGTAACGCTGTAACGCAACACCGTGCAGTGTTGGAAACGTTAAAAAAATATCACGCGACGCGTACAGTGCGCGCGGTTTCGCATAAGCCTCCGGTTTAAATCCGTGCGATATTGCAACGGCGTCAGAACCCGCTGAGATGAATCTTAAAACCGAATTACGGAAATTAATGAACTCGTATAAAATATGGCGCCGCCGGGGTGACGTTGTTATACGCACATCCACTACACTCGTGTGTAATAATAATAATAATAATAATAATTTATTACCGTTACGCTGCAGCGGGTACGTCATTATTTAAGACGTGTATACATCCGTACAACAGCGGTAGGCGCCCACGTGGGGGGGGGGCGAGGGCGAACGTAACGGCGATGCGCGAAAACGTGAAATCGATAGCATTGCCTCCGAAAAGAAATTTTGCCAATCCGATCGTATTCTAATGTTACCGTAACAGTAGACGCGAGACTAGGCGCGTGCGCGGAAAACAATTTGTGCGAGGTTCGTGAGTAAAAAGACGCGGGACGCGTTTGTAACGATAGGCCGGCCGCTGTTGTTGACGAGAGGTCGGGATGGCAGGGTATAGAGAATGATTTAATGTACATATCTGTACGCGTCGATTATATTCATTTTCAACGAAAAACGATTCTGAGCGGAGTTCGATTATACGCGTTTCGAAAGGCCGTAATTTTCGTCGAAATTTTTTACTAAATTCTTATAAAAAAAAAAAATCCTACATTACACACAATTTTCGATTTATAATAAACCTCCTGTTGAATTTTCAATCATTTCTGTTTGGTCTAACAATTTAAACCACAAAGAACGTACCGAATAAAAATTAGGTAACAAAAAAAAAATCGCAAAATTAAAATTTCCATAAATAGCTCGAAAATCAAGCAAATGTTTTGAAAATCTTACCACGTCTAATAAAGAAAAATATAATGTTTTCGTTCGAATTTCATGTCTCTAAGAATATAGCTAACTGAATTATACCAAAAAAAAAGGAATTGAAAATAATGAAAGCATTATTTATTTTCATAAAATATCTTGTTCTTTCTACGAATTTTCAGTTTTGCTCAATTATTAAAAAAAAAACCTTACAGAAAATCAAAAAACGACTTTTTTAAACCCCAATCGGATAAAAAGTTTAACAACAATAATCTCTTGTTGGTTTTTTTTTTTTTTTTTATTAAAGCAATATTTCCAGTAGAAAACATAAGTTGCAAAAATGTAAAATCATGTAATCGTTACGTTAATCGCTAGATGGTTTTTTTTTTTTTTTTACGTTTTTTCCGATTTTCTCCAATTATAATGAAAATCGCTTGGAAAATCGAAAAACGACACGGTCGTACGTTCCATGTACCCGGAACAGTTGTTTGATCGCAAAATTTCAAAATATTACGCAATCCAAATTAAAACGATAAAAACTTAAATGAAATTCGCGCGGAAATGGAATTTACAAAAAATGCAGGTATATATTCTTTGGTGCGATATTCAGTGATAGATACTGCGACCGTTAGAGATATATTTATGTTAGCGGTAACGCGTGTAACGTGTTATTTTATTGAAAAACTAGTTAATCAAATAAAATGAAATTGGATTCCCGAACCTATTAACAACGTATAGACACTAGGTTGGCGTTTCCCGAGGAAGAACGGCTACGCAATAATGTAAACATTAGCTTAGTCGTAAGCGAAAGTCTATGGTTGTTGGTTATCGATGATAACATATAAATTTAAAGAACACAATAGCGTTTATTTCGATGGATCCGATTCATACGTTATGATTGTTTTTTTTTTTTTTTTGGGTACTTCGTTGTTTTCTATGGGGAGACGGCATGTCTCCCTCTTGCCCCCGCCCGACGGGCGCCCACGGATAAAACGGCATTAAAAATCTATTTCGAAACAAAAAAAAAAAAAAAAAATAATAACATTTTTAGAGAATGTCCGTGAAAAAAGATAAATAATATTGTAAAACTTGGGCATTTCTCCCGGATTTTCATTAATGTATCGTTGTGGTCGAAAACGGTTTACGACTTTTCTCTCTATAGGAGGGGGGGGGGTTAGGGTTACCTGCCCGCGTTTACCGATCGGCCGATCACTCGAACAATGTAAATATATAATATTACATAACCGCCGTCGTTCGGTACCCATGCCCGTGGATATTAAATACTTGTACGGGTTACGCGCGTGCCCCCCCCCCCCGTACGAGGGCAATTATTAAATTCGACCGTTGTACGCTTTGCGATCGATTCGTCACGAACCGGCGGTTTTCTCGGAGGATTTTATTACGATTATCGAATCTTCGGGCTTTGTTCAACGCCATTTTCGATTTTCATTCCGGCTCATTGCACTTGAAATGCGTGTACGCCGGCAGTAGCGCCGCCGCTCCGAGCATAGTCTCGAATAGACGATATTCGTCTACTTCTTCTTCTTCTTCTTCTTCTTCTTCTTGNCGGCCTTCAAGACCATCCCTGCAAACAAATTTGTCGCCATCTTTCCCTATCCTCTGCAGCTTCTCTCCGCTGTGTATTTGGTTCTACTGCTTTAACATCCTTTTTGATACGATCCTCCCATCGTAAACGCGGTCTTCCTAACGCGGTTCTTTTCCCAGTCGGATTTTCTTTAATAACCGCCTTAATGAAAGAGCCCTATTTCCTCCAGGCATGTCCAGCCCACATTAATCTTCTCCTATTAATTTCGGATATAATGTCTGGTTTTTGAAACAAGTTCTTCAGTTCATCATTGTGGCGTATCCTCCATTCTCTAGTGTCAGAATCGATACATGGTCCATAGATTCTTCTTAGGATTTTTCGTTCAAACACCGCAAGTCTTTTTTCTTCTACCTTTCTCAGTGTCCACGTCTCAGAGCCATATAAAACTACTGGTCTTATCAGGGTCATGTATAATTGTATTTTTAATTTTGTCGACAAGATTTTTGAGCTAAACATACTCCCTAAGCCAAAAAAGCACCTATTTCCCACTAGAATCCTAGAGTCCATCTCCATCTTAAGGTCACTATCTTGTGTTATTATAGATCCTAGATATTTAAAATGTGACGCTCTCTTAAACTTATAGTTATCTATTTCCATAAACTCTCCTTGTTGGTATTCTCTACTTCTTCTTCCAATTATGACATACTCCGTTTTTTCGTCATTGATCTTTAGACCACATTTGCCTGCTACATTTATTAGTTTACACATATTCGTCTACGCATATTAATGTGGACGTAACACTATAATAACGGATTTGCCGTTTACGGGGCTATAACGGTTTAATGTTTATTTTCATATAATTTATTTATTTTCGCCCCCCCCCCCACAGATCTTGGCTCTGGATCCGTGTCTGCTTCTATTTGCATGCGAAAAGAGGAGTAAGGTGGTAAGGTATATGTATAATAATGATTAGGTATAAAAATATCGTTAAAATAAAGCTTCAACGGTTCCATAATTGTACGAAAAAAAAAAAAAAATTAAAAAAACCTTAAACTAAATTCCCTTGGAATCCTTCGTGAAAATCGCTGGTTCGTAATAATTTGGAACGTTGCAGCGAACATTAATCAAAAAATCAAAAAAAAAACAAACTCTAATAACGAAAAATGGTAGTTTAATAAAAACAATCGATTTTAATAAAAAAAAACAAAAAAAAAAAATCTCAAACCGAAATAAAATACACCACGTGTACATCGACAGTATTAACGAAATATCGTTAAATCGTTGTGCGCAACGCAACAATGAGAGGATGCAATAATAATAATATTATTATTATCTAGAGCTGAACGAGTATCGTTTTTGAATGTCGAGTCGAGTCGAGTCGAGCTCAAATGTCGAGTACTTGAAAAAGTTCGAGTACTAAAAAAAAAGTCGAGTACTCGATAATTGCCGAGTCGAGTCGAGTTTCAATAATTTCGAGTCGAGTAAAGTTCAAATATCTAGTACTAAAAAAAGTCATTCAACATAAAAAACATTTATTTTCCAATAAAATAGTGAAACGAGTACTCGTTGAAGTCGTCGAGTACTCGATTGAAGTCGATTACTCGTATGTATGAGTACAAAAAAAAATTGTGTCGAGTCGAGTTGGAGTACTCCAACTCGACTCGAAAATTTTTCCAATTTCGAGTACTCGCCCGACTCTATTGTTATCAATACTGTCGGAAAATACCGCGGGTTATTATGTATGTCTGGCGCGTACTGTATAGACGTACACACACGCTTGACATTTCGTCTAGAGATTTGTGTGCGCTTTGTAATTTTGTTTAATCGACGACGTTGTACAATATCATAGGAAATATTATAGCGTTTTTTTTTTCCAAATAAAACGCCAAACGTCAAACGCGTTAACGCGAAGAATCAAGAAGCGGCCCTTCCGTTGTCGTTATTGTCGTCGTATTATATGTTCTCCGTCGATGATAAATGAGGCGAAAACGTACGGGGGGGGAGAGGGGAGGGGAAAAAAAAGGTCGTGAATAAAAGAAAACGGCGCCATATGGCGTTCTATAAACGGGTTCCGTCGTCACAATACAACAGTACTATATTACAACGGTACTAATAGAGTATTTTTCGTTCGCGTAATATTCTGTTTTTTTTTTTTTTTTTACTCCTAACCGTTACGCGTTTGTCACGAAAGTACAGTGAGAACATCGCGACTCGGCTATCGGCCGACTGACGGTATTATTCAATTTATCGGCGACGAAATACCCGCTATAATTATTTCGCCCTTGCGTTAATCCGTAAAATTACGTTCAATTTATACTTTTGCGGTACTGGTTCTCTGACGTTGTGGCGGATTTGCGCATTATTATTAAACCCCAAAGTTAAGAACATTGTGCGTTTTTCCTTTTTTTTCGATATTTCAATTTTCGAGCGAGTTACGAATATGCGGAACGTTTCAGTACGAAAATCGTCATATCTCGCTTGTCTACAATGTATTCGTCATGTCTCGGGATCATGCCGAGTCCCGGATTTAAATAAGGGCCTCAAACATCCGGCCGGCGCGTATTAACAGCGCAAACGTTCGCCGGTGTTTGTCGATATTTCCGTGTTATTTAATGCGATCACGTGATTCTTACGTAGTTTTAGGCAAATCAGCAGTCGGATAATATTAAAAACTGAACGTTTCTCACGGTCTTATCGGACTGGTAAGGTGCTCGGGTCTGTGGATTATCGTTGTGCCCGGGATCACGATTTATCACGGCTATTATCGGCCGGTGTATAAGCGGAATAATATTTGTGATCGGACAAAGTACCCGTGGTCACGACGCCGCGGTTGTGGTGTCCTCATCAGCACGGCGAGACCTTATAATACACGCATTTCGCGAACACAAGCGAATAATTATTTTTGTTTTTTTTTTTTTTTTCTAGTAATTCGATCTCGATATGCATATATTTCAGCCGAATTATGAGGGAAACCCTGGCGTACTATGACATATTATTGATAATACCATTTGTATTATAATGTACTAGCTGACCCGGCAGTGCTTTGCTATTACTAGATAACCGTATAAACAATAGTAATTAATAGTAATATATATTGGACACTTATCAGTGGCAATCAAATTGTCATCTATGTCACTAAGGCAAAACACGGGTAAACAAAAATAGATGAATAAACAATTAGATGTTCGTACCGAAAACGCCCGAAAACGTAATTATCGCAATTTCCGTAGGGATCTATAATTTTTTTGAAAATAAAACACGTGGGCTACGTTTCACGGCTGGTAATGTAAATTTGTATACAAGCGAAAGATGTTTAAAAAAAAAAAAAACGGTCGAGTAGTTTTCGAGCTTATCAATTACAAACGAATATTTTCTCTTATATTTTTTCTATACAAACAATGGCTCTCCAGAAAAAAAAAACAAAAAGGGGGGGACTGTATTTCCCATATCTACAATGTTTATTGTCTTTATAGTGTTTCGAATAGTTTATAGCGTTGTAACCAGAGATCAAAAACCAGTTCGGTTTCGTTTGCGAAATTAGACGCGTATGATTTCACGTTGTCGGGGGGGGGGGAGAGTGACGTGGACGATGTATCGCCTCCAAAGACGCCTAGAATATATACCGACCTTTTTATTATTTTTTTTTTTATCTTTTTGCAATTACTCGCGCTAGGCACACGCTGCAGCACATTAACGCGAAATATCAATTACGAACTCCGTTAGTCGTTATCGATACACCGTAATTCGCTATTGCGCTCTTTGGCAACGTTAAGCAAATCGCGCGACGTATTGACGATGCGATGTTTTATCGATAAACGTTCACGTCGATACCCCGCAAAGAAACGTCCCGCGTCTCGCGCGCAACGACCGGCCGTCGTAAACCGCGGGCGAACTTATAGAAACGTCCCGCGTTCCGAACCGACGCGGGAACTGCACGGTAACGCGTTGCGCGCGGACAATTGCGGAGAGACGTGCGCGCGTGAAAAACGCCGGCATCCGAACGCCAGCCCCCGCCGTTCGGGACCGTCACGCGCGCGCTCGGATCTGTTACTCGGTCCGGGACGCGCGAACGAAAAACGTGCGTAACATAATGTCGTTGGATGCGGGCCCGATAACGCTGCGGAATGACGGAAAGCCAAATACAACCGAGCGTGCGCGGTGTGCATGCCGTTCGTTGTCGCCGTTGCCGTCGCTGTTTGAAAATCATAAATTCAACACCGTACGTTATGTGCGCGCGCGTGCGCGTGCTCGTCCGCGGGACGATTTTCTTTGAATCCGAAATAATTTATTTAAAAATGTAGCGGCCCGCGTACGAGAAGACGCGAACGTAACGCGCGCACGCGCACTGTGCCCGAACGCACGGACGCGCGCTATAACACACGATCCGTGTCCGCCGTATACGTATACGCGTGTGTGCGCGTGTGTGTGCGCGTGTGTGTGCGTGTGTGTGCGCGTGTGCGCGTGTGTGTGCGTATGTGCGCGTGTGTGTGCGCGTGTGCGCGTGTGTGTGCGCGTGTGTGCGCGCGCGCATATATGTCATATGTTTACCAAGTGCTATAGTGGCAATGTACACGCGACGAGAACGGCAAAAGAAAACGCACGCGTACATTCGTGTCCGTACGGAAAAGTTCGGGAAACTGTGTGTACATTGTGCGAGCGTTCAATTTTTATTGCTTTCCGATTTTCCAATATCGCGGCCATTGACGTGACGTGGAAAAACAATACCGTGCGCGCAGTGACGATTTAATTTAGGCGCCTGGTTATGTTGCGGCCGCGGGCGCGACGCGCGGCACCGTTCCGCGACGATTATTATTTTGTTGTCGTTGTTGTCGCTGCGCCCGTCGCCGGTACGGCAGCAATGGTCCCGGGACGGCGCACGACGTGCGGGAAACGCGACGACTTTTTCAGGGCAAACGCGTGGCCGCGAATACGGCACGGGACGGCGTGACACCGTTCCGTTAAAACGATTCGGTAAAAGAAAAATGGGACGGGACGCACTTCGCACGTGGCCGCGGCCGTTGTCGCGGTCGGTTGCGCGTTGGTTGGGAAGACACGGTACGGACGGAAATTCAACGCGACGGTTGCCGACGAAAAAAACGATTCCGAGCGGAGTTTAGCCGACAGTGGTTGCTTTGTCGACATCCGTATATCATTGTGTCATATTGCGGTAAAATAATTACAACAATGCGTGTTTCCGTGACAACGATGATTGTTTGACAAAGATTTTAAAACGATAAAAACTTAATAATGACAAAAAAAAAAAATAAATAAATAAAAACGATTGCCGATTGAGAATATTTCTTTTCGGAAATGGCATTATTACTTGGAAACCGGAATAAGCTTTCTGGTAGAAAAAGTGTTGGCATAAAAAATAGAAAAAAAAAAATGAACATCTTCGTAAAACCAATACGTCGTTCGCGAAAAACGAACAAGGTCCTGTGTTTCTACGGTTTTAATAAAATGATTGAAAAATCGTTCGGGAACGTCCACGGGATCCGTCCAATACGAATCCGACGTCGGTGGCGAACGCGTGAGTGCCGAGCGCTCCACAGTTTATTCAGACACTTGAAAAGCCCCGCCGAGTACAGTCTGCCCCCGACGGAGCCGATCCGGCGCATACCCGCCCGCTTTCCTACGCTATTTTCAATTACGGATTCCCGGTCCCTTCAACGCTCGACCCGCCCGTTCCGGCTCCTTTATTTTCATTCCGTTACGACGCTGATAAATTACCCGTGCACCTCCCGCATCGGGCGAAGCGCGTCCGGACCGGGATTCGGCGAACCCGTTCGGACACGCGCTTTTCGTTTCCCGTTGACAGCTCGCTAGACAATAAGCGCCCGGTCGAACCGCGGAAAACCGGTTTTTTTTTTTTTTTAAATTTAAGCGACGGGCAAATATCCGTTCGGGTTCGCGCGCCGTCGGTTTAGTTTCGAAACGCGCGCCGAAAGTCCGGCGATGTTAAACACGCACTCGCGCCGTCGCACAACGGACGCCCGCGTGCCGAATACGCGTTACACACACGGTCAGACGGCGCACGTTCGAACGCCGCCGCGCCAAGAGGCTCCGGAAATAACGAAAATTCCGGTCCCGGCGGGCCGTATAAAAATTACCGTTTGTCCGGCGCGAACGGGTAACGGGTCCGGCGTTCGGTTTGCGCGCGCCCGTGACAATCCGAAACAAACCGGAAAGATATTAAAACGCGCGATCCGCGGTCGCGTTTTCCGCCGCGATGTCGTTCGGCGAAATCGACGAAATAACAATAAAACGTGAATAATCGTGAACGGCGAAACCGGCGGATTCGAACTGCGGATCCGCGGGACGGTTTTTTTTTATCGCGAAACGCGTACGAGCGCAACACGCCCCGCCGCATCCGGCGGCACGCGATTTATAATAATCAATCCGGATTGCTCCGTTTCTCACGAGGTCGCCGCGCGCTCGTTGTATTCAGCCGTGCCGGATCTATCGGTTTTTTTTTTTTTTTTTTATTTCGCCGTTATCCCGAGAATTTCTACGTTTCCGGGATGTTCGGCCGGTGCGGGTGGACGACAGGCAGGTACCGCGTTAAAATGTTCTCCGTGCCCATTAAAGTAGAAAAATTGAAAAGACCGGTGACGCGGTCGCGGTCTGACTCTGCACCAATCGAGTGACGAAAACCGCCGGGAAACGCGAAAGTATCTCGGACAAGAGAAAAAAAAAAATGCACAAACCGTACGGATTGTCATTGAAACACCGGGGGAGTGCTAACAAATGACTTACGAGAACAAACGGCGGTATCGAAAACGTTGTAAACCAACCGAACGAGAAAAAATCGTATTTTAATCCGTAAAATACATATTGAACGTAAACACGACTGTATTTGCCGTTTAGCTTCCGGCGTAGGATTACACGGGCGATTTTGTTTTATTTATTCATTTATTTATTTATGATACAGGTATTACTGATTTGACTGTAAAAAAAAAAAAAACACTCGTTGTCTTTAACAACATTATACGCGTAAACCGTATGCGTAATCGATTCGCATTCGCGAAGCCTGTACATTATACAGTCGGCAATGTTAACGGTCGGGTTATAAACATTAATTTTTTCGAGGTAGCTATTTTAAAAGTATAACCGATTAGAACGGAAATCGGAATTTTCTAAAAAAAAATATAACACCCACAGGCGCGATACGGGTTTAACGTGCGGGGGTGCTAGATTTATGTCGACCAAAGCGAGCCGCGGGAGACTTGGCACTCCACAACCCCTTCTCACAGCGCCGTTCATACATTCATCACACTGACCTATTAATCGATAATTATTAATCATTTTTCAAAAGAAAATAAAACACAAATTTAAGGTAAATCCATCCAGCGCGACGGCAGTGGCGCGAATCTAAGTAAGAAAAAAAAAAATGATATCGTATAACCTGTAAATATAAATAAATATCCGCCGCTCGCGTATAGTAACGGGTGACCGAGTTGTACACGCTGGAAAACCGTGCTAAATTTTGTTTGTCCATCGGCCACCGCTACTGGGCGAACGGTTGAATACGTAGGTATTCGACTAACAAACTCCGCGCGCGTCTGGGCCACTGTTGCAGGTGAGAAATTAGGAAGGCATAGTAGAGGGGAAATTTAATGTACGAGACGGCGCGCAACGGTTAGCTATCGCTAACGAAAAAACGGTTCTGAACGAAGTTCGGTTGATAGCGTTGCTTTGTCAACAGCATATACGTCACATTATGGTAAAATAATTGCGCATATGCATTAAACATTTTCTTTAAAACTGTACGTGTATTCCCGGTTTTCCGTCGTTTTTGGGAAAACTCCTGGGAATATCAGTAAATTATCTCTCTCCAAGCAGATTTTCTTGTAGAAAAACCGCCGTCATTGTAGATCGGAGTAAAATGCTGGTAGAAAAGTTGTTTACAGATTAAAAAAAAAAAAAAAACGTCATTGTACGATTTAACCAATACGTTCTCCTCGCTTCACAATGTGCAACTGTAATTTTTTCAAAAAAAAAAAATAATAAATAACCGGTGATAAAAAATTTACTAAAATTAATCCGATTGTATTCAAATAGGTATGCGTTCCGAACACATCTATTAGCTCGTTTATCCCGATATCCACCTGCGTGCGTGCGCCGAACACGAAATAAAATAATACATAATTTAAGAGACGGCCGCGGCGATTATGCGTGTTCGGGTTTTTTTTTTTTTTTTTTTTTCTGTTTTCGTTTTAGTTCTCGCGTTCGTTTCTGTTTTACCGAACGCGACGATAGCTAATATATCATTATGCAGTTACGTTTCGAAACGAGATCGCATCACTCTACTCGGATACTCTGTCAATATCGTATAATAGAACATCGGCTGTTGAATCGAGTCGCGCGGATGTCCTTTGAAAGTTAATTGCCCGTAAAACGACATGTTCAAGCGGGGTGTGTGATATAATAACATTTTCTCGCCCCGCAACCACACCCCGCGCGCATCATCAGCTACGTATTACGCGTTATGGTCATTGAATTTTTTCGCTCTCCCGCTCCCCCGCCCCTTCTTTTATTATGATAAATACGCCTATCTGCACAAGCCAGAAACCTGAAATAACCGTCGAATCGCCATACCGCGCTACAACCCGTAGTTGATGCGGAATATACTCGAATGCGGGAGTGTAGGGGAAGGTGCGGAATACCGCTTCCTTTCCAGAAATGTTTTAGCGCGTCCCTTGTAAATTTTCTAAAAAAAAAAAACCAAGAAATTATTTGTGTTTTATCGAATTTAAAATTAAATTATCGTTGGACTTCCGACTAGGCAGTTTAAATTTCAAAGTTTGTTGGAAATTTCATTGTTCGCCCCCTACTTTAAGCTACGCACATGTAAACGTTGTTTTTATTTATTTATTTTTTTTTTTTGTCCCTTGTGCGTCCCCTTTTATTTTTCTCGTTTCAAGCACTGTCGGTAAGTCGTTCACAAAACGAATTTAGATTCTTAAAAAAACATTATTTTTAATTTGTTAATACAGATGCGCGTGTTCTGGCACGAAAAGTTTTGAAGCTATTTAAACGCAATTAAGGGGCGAAAATAGTACAAATACAAACGTTGATTGAATAATCAATACGTTTTCTTATCAATTTCGTGTATTATTACGTATCGTAATTAAATGCCAAATTCGTCTGTCTGTGTGTAACGCTTTTCTCTTATACTCAATACGTAAAATGCGGCATTTCGATTTGATTTGAACATCTTCCGAAGGTCGACGATAAAATAAAAAAAAAAAAAATCAGGGGATTCGTGTTTTGGCGTGGTAACCGCGATTAAACTATCATCCGATAATCTTTTTGAGAGTTAGTTACTGTAACCTCGATCCTGTCACTCGTCTATTAATAGTTTGGTGCATTTTTTAACAGTCTATTATGTGTTGGTAAGAGATCTACTTGGGTTACTGATTGGGTTAAGAGAAGCATGCGTGAATACCAACTAATTGTCATTTCAACGTAAAATATCCCTAACTCAGTTGATTATCTGTAAGGACAATATTTCGACAACAAAGTTTTAACGAACCTTGTGGAAAATCAAATAAATTTCGAAACTTTTCTCAGATCATACGGCCGGTAATTAAAGCGGGAATCGTACGCATAACTGTGCCCGTTTATTTATGATCCACTCTTCGGCATTAGGACATACAATATGCTAATTTCGAATTGCTGAACATAAATATGCTCTGAAAACGTATCCACGGAATCCTAAATTATACAATAAAATATCCGTAAGCCCCAAAACACGCGAAGTAAAATTTTGAATCGTTTGGTCACGAATAACTTTGCGGTATACACCGATATAGATTTGTCTACGGTCATCCAATGATAATATGCAGAAATAATATTGCGAATATATTCCTCGCCGGTATTATTGCGGAATATTGTACACGCGTTGAGAATTGGCGAAAATTGTGGGGTAGGGGCTTGAACGGTCTAAGCCCACTCAAAACGTATAAACAAAGAAATCAGTCCCCTTGAAGTTGCTAAGTACTTATTGCTAGTTACTAGTTTTAGAGGGGCTAATTTTTTGTTGATAAGTTTTGAACGAGCTTTGACCCCTCAAGCCCCCCTACACTTTCCGTCAGTGTTGCTAATGCGTCCGATTCGGGCGAATATAAATGGCGGTTCCCAGCGCATTACCATGCCGGACGACTTGAAAACCGGACGATAATTTTAATTGTTTCGGAAGGATAATTCACGGTGAACGGGAGTAGGGGCCAAAGAGGGTTAAATTGTACGCGACCTGTTTAGCGGATTGTCAGTGTCTCGCGAAATCTCCGCCTATACAACACAAGGCGCGTCCGGGGCGCACAAGAAGTGTACGCGCGACAACATACTCGGTAACAAAACAATTATGTCTAAACAAAAGTTATCCGGGCACTAGGTACACATCGGTTTTTACCTCTAGATACATTATTGCGTGTGTGGTACGTACAACACTTTCGAAAAAGTCAATAACATACTCTACGTTTGTTTAACAACATTACGTGTACGGATACAAGATACAATGACGTACTAATGATAATTTACTAAATAGTTTACTGCGCCTATCTATGAGAATGTACAAGATACGGAAAATTTAAAATATTGTTCGATAATATAATTACGGTATTAGTTATCGGCAAAAATAATCAAAAGTTACGCGTAACTATTGTACGGTTATATTGCATTAGGAAAAAACGCTACTGGGCGCATTCAAAACGAATTATTGTTAATAGTGTCGTAATGGCCGTTGTTTATTTTCGGCCGTTACGTCGAAAGTATCGGATTTTCGTTAATTTTCGGCACACATAATATAATTACGCAAGAAAAAAAAAATATAACGACAACAACAACGACACAATAACAATAAAAGATATTGTACAATAGATACGCGAAAGATTAATAAAAAAAAAAAACAAAAAAATGACAAAAAATACAATAACGTAGACGTCTCTACGGCGTATCTACGGCGGCGGTCAAACGGCGGGGGCGGCAGGGCCGGGATGACGAGGATAATTTTTAAGAGCCTTTATTCAAACCGTTTAAGAAAACGCACGTCAACGGGCGATGTGCCGCCCTTCGCCGTTTCACCGCCCCTGCGATTGATATCGTTATCACGAGTATCCGTCGTGATAATATTATAAAAAATATACGCGCACTGTTCGTCGACCAGTGTTTATTTCATGCGGGTGGCCATGGGTGGGGGGGGGAAGTGGAGGATGGGGGAGTGGTATAACCCCGTACCCCCGTAGAAAAACGTACACCAATGACCCCTTGAAAATGTATGACGCGCGTAAACTACACGCGCGATGTGATATGTGAAACGATTTATGACCCGATTACGATGGTCATTTTGTCGACTACAAAATAGGTAAGAAAAAAAACGACAAACGGACATGATTCGCACGGCGGGTGGATCACCGTTACAAGTGATAAATCGAGAAGATTTAACGGATGTCTCTGTACGCGACGATCAATCGTTGTTAACGGAAAACGACTCTGAGCGGAATTCGGGTGTTGATGTTTTTCGAATGGCTAATACTTACGGTTTGAAAATAATACGTTTTGTTTGTAAATTTTCCCGTTTATTATCTTTTTGGGAATTCGCCATACCGCTCCTCCCTCCCTCCCTCCCGGGGACGAAGGTGCGAAAAAGTGGCGTGAACACCGGGCGGTCGAGGTGGACAAACGCCGCGGGCTAACAGCTGACGCGGACCCTATCGGTGGCCTGGACCAAGGGTCCGAGGCACTATTGGACAGGCGAGTGTATTTTCGAAAGGCCTTTTCGGCATTTCGGACTCGATTAATACAATGTTTTACCACGGGCATTGGACGTTCCGGTCACGCCACCGGTACCGAAATAAACACTGCCGTCGACGGTTCGACACAGTGACGGAACCTAATGTAATGTAACCGTAACGAACTATAATAAAACCGTCGGTTTCTATATGTACGTATACATGTATTGTGTGCGTAACGTTAAATTATACTTACGGGTTTTTTTTTTTTTTGTTGTTGTTTTTGTTTGATATTATCGGACACTCGATAATATCGTTCGGTCCGGTTCGCGCGCGCGGTTTCTCGTTCTGAGCGGATCGTCGACGGGTCGCACGCGCGTACAATTTCGTTAAACGGACCACTCGCGGTATACGGGCGGAGGCGGGACTCGGTGTACGCGTCACACCGGTGCGGCAAAAAGAAAAAACGCAAATACGCGCCCCGGACACTGAACTGTCGCACGGCTGGCAGCGGTAACCGCGGGTGTATTAACCGATGTTAGCACTCGGGGAACGAGAGAAAACGATCCGCCGTCGCCTCCGCGTTACCGGGTTACGCGGATATCGCCGCGCGTCCGCCGAAACGATCGAATTACCGTCGTGAGCCGCGCGAGACACGTTGACTCGTCGCGACGCGATTGAATTATTGTTACCTTATTATTGTTATTTTATTATGGCGAAGACGTCTATTTCGCGGTGCAGCTTTCGGATTCGGCGATTTTCACCGCGGAATCGAAACTCGACAATTGTAATATTCACTTGGCGACGTGTCCGTTATCGGTCCGTGGCCGCGACGGTGTATTGAAATGTAATCGCGGGTTACGATCTACGGGCGACCGATTGACAAACCGTGACGGTTGCGCGGTTGACGCGACGTGATCGGTGAGAGAGAATGAGAGAGATAGAGAGAGAGAGAGAAAATGAGAACCTTTCTTGATCTTTTTTTTTTTTTTTTTCCTTAAAGTTTTCAAAACGAACGCGCCTGATCTTTCGAAAACGAAACGTTTACAATGCGAAAACTATATGATATACACAAGTATACGCGTACGTGCGTTGTGTTATTATTACAAAATAATATCGTAAAACGTACAGGAGGTGCGCCGACGCTACCGGTTTCGTGGTGCGTTCTACTGCTAAAATGCTGCTGGCCGACTGGGGATTACTAGGCGCCGTACGCGAGCCACGACCCTTTCGATTACCCGAGGCTCCGTCGTCGGCGGCGGCGGGCAACGGAGTTGAAAGTCGCGTCAACAGGGCGAGCCACCGTACGGGGCGAGCGCCGCGGCCGCGGCCGGGGCGACGACGCGACGTCTCTGCCGGGGTCCCGTGGTGCGCCCGGCGCGACGACGGGCGTATAATGCGTTTACGGCGAACGGACGGGAAACGGGAAACGGGATTGTTTTTAGATTCTGAGCGGAGCGAGTAATGTACATTGGTTTTACCATGATGTTTTTTTTTTATTTTTTTTCTGCGGACAACTTTTTTTTTTCCGCCAGCAATTGTGTTCCGATTTACCGGCGCAGCATATTTTTCTGAACGAGAATCCGACCGGGGCGGTACCTTTAGAGAGGTAATTGTTTTTTTTCTTTTTTTTGATTTTCTCGGGAGTTTTCATGACAAATGGGAAAAAACACGGGGAAAACCGGAAAAATAGCCGGTACAATAATGTGCAAATGATTTATAACGTTATAATTGTGTTTCAATAATATTTCGTATTGAACACGTTTGCTTGCATTGCGTTCTAGTAACGGGACAAAAGCCGCTTTGACATGAATCGACGCGTCTGAGTAAAACGATAACGAGTCTGCAATAAAATCACGCTTTCGATAAAATTGTGACTCCGGTCCTTTGTGCGCGAAGCGATTCATTTTGTGTGCGTTCAAAACGCGTAGAAAAAAATTAGCGGGCCGCTAAAGTATCCCGCGCATTTAATTTGCCGACTGGCCACTACACCGGGCTACCAAAAAGTGAATTATTTTACGAATATTATTATTTAATGAAACGGAAATGTGTACATTTTTCACGCGGATAGTCACGTCAATGACACGTTCGTTCTACTGTTTTGCATTAGATTTAAACGAGATTTATGAAAAACACGATATAAATCATTTACGTTGTGTTAACAAAACAAAAAAACAGCGCTTAAAATCTAAAATGCGAAATTTTTGCACTTTCGGGTTCCCGGTGCACAAAACTAATATTTATATGGCTAACTCTGCTATATTTTTTCATTTTTTTTTTTTTTACCTGTATCCCGTAATAACCGGCAATTTCTATAAAACCAAAGATCCGAATTTCGGAGTCGAATCGCGTTGAGTTTTCCAACGCACCCCGGCCAGGATGATCTGGCGTAACTATAACTTCTAACGCCCGTGGCAAAATGTATTAGACACTACTGGCCCGTGTGCACCGGCCCGTTAGCCGTGGGTTTTCCAAACTAAACCGGTTATTGCGGCCGCGCGGTTATTTTTGTTATTGTGAAAACCGCCGATTCGAAATGGACGCTAGGTTCGCGACGGTCACGGGCCGGTTTTCGTGGCACGGACTATAATCGAACCGGGGTCAAGCGGAGACAAAATAAAAAGCCGTCTACAAAAGATTCGCAGATACCGGTTCCTAATTATAACCATATGTATTCGCCTGTCCGCCCACTGAAAAATAATACCTTGGGCTCGGATTCGGGGCCCCTAAGTGGCGCGGCCATATTTGCTCGTCATGCCACCCTATCGGTACGCCACTGCGGCCGGAGGGGGGGAGGGGGGTCGGCGATCGTATTCCGGCCAAATGATCTGGAAACTAAATTTCTGGAGGCCCGGCAATAATTCCGGGGCTCGGGCCATCAATATGGGGCCAATCTCACTTTTGATCGATTTTGGTAGATTCAGAATAAAGCGCACATTTTCGGGCCGTCTTGACGTTGCAATAGTGATGTTTTCCAACAGCATTGGTCTTTTCGAATCTCACAACGATCGGTCATTCAGAGATACGCCCCCCATTAGCACCAGAAAAAGCGCATGTGTGTGTGTGTGTGTGTGTGTGTGTGCGGACGGCCGGCGAGACTCGGAATGGCGAAAAATTGTAATTCGCAATGTGCGCCGCATACGTCGCGCTTTACCGGCGGCTTCAGACTCGGCTACCGCCGCCGGTCACGGTCGCGCGTAGGTGTTTGAATTGCGAATTACCGAACGGTTGCCGCGCGGAGTTTTGCCCGCCAGACGCTAAAGAACGGACGGGCCGCGCAAACGTAACAGGGGGAAATGTGCCAGAACCGGCGACAGGGAAAGGCTGTTTTTCGTCAACGCCCCTCGCGCGGGCAGAGGAATTATTCGCGAGATGTATTCCGCGATTGTCGACGTTGCGAGACGCAGATACAGGGAACTACGAACTTTGTAAAAAATTTCAAAAACTATTAAACCGTAATGCGTCCGTTAGGCGCATTGTTATTGTTCTCCGGTTTGTTTGGCCGCGAGTTTAACAGTACGGTGTTTTTTAATCAAATTCATCGTATTCTATATTATCGCTTATCAATTGCTTTAACAAATAAATTACCGTCCCCTAGACCGGTTATTAGAATACGAATTAGGTTAAAGACCTCTGTAATTTTTATTTTCGTGTTCGTTCCCCGCGTTCTCCGTAAGATTCTATGGCCTCTGCACGTTCTTTAATATCTATGGTTTTTGCATTTCCGAGTTTTACCATTCCAGATTTTGTCGCGTTCCGTTGAAATGATGTGTGCCATCATTATGGCGCCGCGGCTAGATAAAGACTCGACGATTTACGTCCCGGCCGAAGTATCGACGTCGACAAACCCTCGGGCCTCATCATAATAATATTATTTTCGTTTTCACTGTCCGTCTCACGCGTAATGTCATAATGAAATATATTCGGGATATTATATGCGGAGCGTAGCGAGGAATTGGTGTTGGTGATCGTAACCAATTCGACATTGGTGTATCACGATGTCTTCTTATTTTTTATACTCATTGTAACAAAAATGCTTACCAAAAATCTTGCTTCGATATGTAAACGTGGCATTTTTTTCTGGGAGTAAGTTTTCTCTATACGATACTTTAAGCGGGTCTTTTTTTTTTTTTCTGATTTTCCGAGTGGTTTCCATAATAACTGGGAAAAGCCGGGATAAAACTTGAGAAAAACGGGAAAATGTACATAAATAATTCCTTTATCGTTTTCAATTTTGTTTTTTCATCGCAGTTCAGTTAAAAATATTCGTAGAGACTTGAAATTTAAACGGAAAACTTATTATTTGTCTTTTCTAGACATCGTAAAATTGTCGACAAATTTGAGCAATTTTTGAGCTGATTATAGACATTTTAATTTTCTTTATTGAAAATGCAGTTAAAAATATTTACCTACGAATTTTATAGACTTGCAATTTTGATATAAAATTTATATTTGTCTTTTCTAGACGAAAAAAAAATTGTCAAAGTATTAGCCGTTTATGAACTATTTATTGATATTTCAATTTTGCGAATTTTGTACGTAATTTTTATTCGGTAAGTACTCAGTGGATAAAATTGTTGGACTAAACAGAAATCCTTGAAAATTAAACAGAGGGTTTATTAAAAGTAGTACTCTGTAGTAAAAAAAAATTAGCAGTACTTTTTTTTTTTATAAAACAATTTTAATATCAAATTTCGACAAAAATCGTTTGAGTAAAAAATTATGTAAAACAAATCTAGTTCAAATCTGAAAAATTTGTGCGGACCAGTTTCATACAAATTTTTCTATTTTTTTTTTTTTTTTTTTGTATTGTTCATATGTATATTATATATATATAAGTCAGAATTGAGCGGAATGACTTCGTTTCAAAATTTTAGCTTTTTGAAATTTTGATTTTATGCAAATATTATATGTGTTATGTTAAATAACGCAATATTGTCAATTCTATAGTATGTCTGTCGTAGACTCGTAGTCTAATGTTGGTATATACCTGTTGTCATCCCAGAGATTGCAATTTCAAACCCGAGTTCCAAACAGTTTTTACGAAACTACGTCGGGTAAGTAACAGGGAAAAAACAAATACATTTTGAATGCACCCAGATTCCCAAGCTGTCGCTCGATGCGCTTGCTCGAACTATTTTAATCGAAAAATACCCCTCGCTTTGTTGTGCATACTTTTCCACCGGAAATCTCTTTCCGATGTATATCAAGTGTCGCAACTTATCTGAAAGGAAATTTTATCTTATATGGTAAAAGAAATCCAAAAAAAAGTCGATTGTTTGTAAACAGATTTCATTAATTGTAATTAGGTTATCAAACAAATAAGTACGCCGGAACAGTATGTAGTACAACTTGATTAGCTGGTAAACTGGTCATTTTTTGATTCTCCGAGCAGTTTTCATAATAACTGGCGAACACCGGAAAAAGAACGTAGGAAAAACGTTAAAACTTCCGTACATGAATAAAAAAATCTTCACTCAGAATTTAGAAAAAACTTCTTTAGCAATGGTTTATATAGTTCTGTAGGTAAAGATATAAATTAAATTTCTCTATACATCTTGCCTTCCCTACTTCTTACCTACAACAGTGGCCCACCCAACGTGCGAAGTAGGTATGTCCGTCTTTTTCTATTTTTATTTAATAACAATAATTGTTGATTCGTACACGCATCAATGCGTATATTTGCCCATGAAAACGCCTGGAATGACTAGCAAACATACGGATCTGAAACACAAGCTACAAATTGGGAAACCGGATTTTTACGGATATCGAAATCTTAACCGTATTCGTTATAAGAACTGTTATAAACGCTGCACTCGAATACTTACGAAGTTTCTAGAGGTCAATATAAGTTTATAATATAATGTTACATCGTCAGTGCAGATGATTTTTAATTTTTTTTTTTTGTCTAGGAAGGTCACAGAACAATGTGAATAATGTATAAATATGTCTCATAACACGAGAAGATTGTAATTAAAATTGTATTATTTTGTCGTCATTGTAAACGAATGTATAAATAGACAAATTCAAAGCATATATATAGGTACACGTTTGAAACACGTCTTGACATAAGAGGTAGGTACTCGTATATAAGATATAACAAACGGGGCGATTCGATGGGAACACTCATGATCTCGGAAAGTGTTAATATTTTTCGGAATTTTTGAAAATGTGAGAAACAATCAGCAACTTTAAATTTTGCATTGCCATTATTTTCGTCATCCTTACTTTCGTCGGTGAAACTATTTTTGTTCAAACACCACGTTTCATGTCGCCACACAAATGATACTCCATTACTCCACTATATCGTCAATGGGTTGACGGAAATTAAAAATGTCAATTAGAGGTTACCATTTGAAGATCAAAAGTAGGTACCTAGTCGTTTCATCCACAAAACTAAGAGTGTAAAAAATAATGGTATTTTACGAATTTTGAGCTGCTTGTTTCTTAAACGTTCAACAAAAAAAATCCGGGAGAATTAGTGTTTCCAATTGAGTGAATCGCTTTGTATAATACCGATCAGTTTGAAAATATTATTAAGTCATTTTACAAAATATCTACGTTTGTATTGTTTTGAAATGGATGAGAAGTTACTGAATAAAACGAAAGCAATTCATTTTTCAATTTTTTTTATTAAAACATTATTTAGTTTATTTTTATTAATTTAAATATTATAAATAAAGGTACCAAATAAAGTTGTACTTTTAATTTTGATTGATAAACACACTTGTGATTAATATTACGTAAATAATTCTCGGTTGCGCATACCTAATATTAGGCTGGATACATTATTCTATTTTAAAATAAATGAGATAAGCTGTCCAATTATTACAAAAAAAAAAAATGTCTTATCTTTATTACAGAACACACGAAGCTCGCCTTTTCACGTTGTAACTAAATGAATATTATGATATATTTTGTGTTGTCAATATTGTAGTTACAAGCGAAATATTAGGTATTTAATTTTAAATTTGTATAAGATAATACAAAACGTACCTAACGTAAGTATTTACATTTGTTTAAATGAAGATTGGACTATTATATTATTAGAATATGTGCTATAGAGTATAAATGACATTGGTTTTAGAAAGACTATGTATATTATAATAAATAATAATATATTAAAATCTATTTATAAACGATTTCACAATCAGTAATTTGTTACTTTGTTTCATTAGAGATAGTAATTCTAAATCACTTCGTTACGGATTAAAATAGTTTACGTGAAACGCCACGAAACTTTTGCACGCGAAAAAACGCCTCGATCTATAGACTTAATGCAGAAATCAATCATAGAAAAGGAGAACTGGCACTGTGCATCTTTTAAAAGTTATTCGACATTTGGTTACTTTACTATGAATTAAGTTAACTTGATAAGTCCATAGCCCCAGTAGTTTTTGACTGCGCGAAATTGTTTATTATAAATTGGTAAACATTTTTGTTAATTTTACTATTACATAATAAATAATTGTGACAGTGGCACTGGACTACTTGTAAATGTACTCGAAAGTTAACCTGAATACTTCTGAGTTGATCGAATTTTAATTTTTCAAAAATGTTGAGAAAATATCCTTTATGCAACCTTTTATAAATCGAAAGTAGCACGTCCCCTTAAACTTAAAAGTAAGAACATTATTTGAGTTTCTATGTGGAGTTTTTTAATATTTCAATTTTTAACAGATATATACTTAATTATTCTATGAAGTATCACAGTTTAAAAACTGCTCATGTTTTGCTTGAAAATTAAATCGCTAACAATGTTCTTAAGAAAACTATACGTGTTACCGCCCGTATTTTAAGCATTTGAGTAGTTAAGTAAAGAAAATGTTCACAAAAAAAGTATTAAATAAATTTACAAGTAGTCCCATGTCATTATCATAAGTAATTTTCGTGTTACCGTGATATAAACTAATTTTTTTATGAATAACAGTTTTATAAAGGACAATTACTCTTCCTGGTAAATGTATTTATAATAAAACAATCTACTAACATTTAACAGCACATTAATAACGAGTCATACAAATCATATTTTAACGCAAATCAACAGTGGTATTCGGTTACTTAATTACATAATACATTTTGTACAATCCAAGTTAAAAAGTTGAACTTAGATCATATCCCTGGTTAACCCATGCAATTACTAGGTTTGGCCTTTGTTTAATTAAATAAAACTACAAAAAAAAAAAAAATTTTTAATAAAAGTATCCATTATACCAATATTATTTTTATAAATAACAGAATTCAATAACATTTAATGACAAATTATAGTTTATAAGCATCATTTAATGTGAACAATCAAATTAGAAGCATCAAGAATTGTAATGAAATTAGACATAGGAGGGGGAGAGAAAAACCAAAAAGGTGGTGGTTGGATACAATTGAGAATGAGATGAGGATGACAGGTGTATGCGAGGATGATGTGGGGATCGAAGAAAATGAAAATTTAAGACAAAAGTGGTGTCGACCCCAAAAGAGAAAAAGATAAGCATAAATCAATGTAATAATATTAATTTAATAGAGATATGAAGGAATTGAAAAATGGCGATGATTTTTTTACTTAGTACAAATAGTTCTTGGTCAATCAAATAATTTTTAAGCACCTAGGTAATTAAGGATAAGGAAATTTCACAAGGTAATGTTTTTCTAAAGCACCTTGCTGTTAAATATACCATGGACTAAATATTATTTTTAATAAAAGATGTATCACATCCAACTTGTACAGGTGCTGTGGGTGCTTACATTTACAATATTTTACTTAAAACTGTAGAAACATGTATAGAACTTTTAATTATTTTGGTTTTTAATTTACTTATGGTAGGTATAGTGCAATAAAAAAAAAAAAATAATAATAATAATACGATACAGATAAAGTTTTTTTTAATGTGCTGTTAAGTTTGGATAACTCTACTTTAAATATACAAAGAATATAGTTGTACCTCGAAAAAACAGCTATTACAATCGAATTACAGGATGTATCACGTATTCTTAAGTTTAATAATAGGTCATTGGAGTCAATTAAATGTAATATTAAAACTAGCAGCACAGAATTGATCTTACTGAATATAAATGTGTTATGCCTTTATAAGAGGGAGACAGCAAGTCATGTGGGAGTGACTCTCTTCATATTTTTAGTTTTTATTTGTGTAGAACATATCATAATTAGTTGATTACAAATAGTGCATAAATTACACACTTTACAACAGTCAAAAGTTCAAAATGGTTTTAAATAGGCATGGCAGTAAAACATTCGTCAAAATATCGGCAACCATTATTTTAGTGGTAAAATAATTGGAAATAAACAAATCACAAAGAGTTCACTTTTTGTTCATTAAAACGATTATAACTATTATATTAAGAAAAGCTAAGTATTATATATGTTACAAAATTAAATATAAAACAATTGTCAAATATATTCAAATTATCTGCAAATCCATAACAATAAAATAATCCGTATTAAATTGACACAATTAAAGAAGCAACATCAATAAGTTTAGGTTTCAAATACGATTTTGAATGTACAATTGTTGTTTTTAGTAGATAATAATAAAATAGTAATAATAATAATAATAATAATAATAATAATTAAAATAATTAAAATAATAATCAATTAATTTATAAACAATACAACTGCTAAAACAAAATTAATCTATATATCACTTCATTAGCATTTATAGAAAAAAATCATCTTCATACCTTGTATAATATAATTCCCCAAAAATAAGCTTATCACATTTATTTAAGCACTCTAAAATTTGTTTACACACATTGAGCTCAAACGAATAACAACAAATTTGTGCAAAAAACAAAAAAAAAAAAAAACAAATTATACATTTTTAGTCATATTTACAGAAATAAATTGGTTATTTTTTTACATCCATTAACCTTAACATTTATTATATTCATTATAAAATAGTGTGAACAGATTATATTATTATTCATACACATAATATTTAATATATTATGTTAACTAGGCATATTTGAAAATGTTTACGTAAATTACGTTCGCTTTGGAGGTATATCTTTTTGAGATCATAAGGCACTGGCATATTCATTTGTATGAGATAAATGAACAAAATAAATATATATATATATATATATATTACTATATATATATATGTATATATATACACGTGACAACATTAAACATGTTTTGTTGCAATTAAAAAAATAGTACATACTTACACTGTTGTGTGAAAATATGTTTAGTTAGAATATTTTATGGCACAAAAATGTAAAATAATTTCTTTTCTTTTCGTTAACTATAACTTTTGATGGATAAATTAGCTGAGAATAAACAATGAACATTTTTATTGGGCAAAAACTTTTCATAGATTGTTTTTTCTTCTATATAATGTACACAATAAACAAATTTAATAACAAAAAAAAAAAAAATATATATATATAATTACAATAAAAATAATAATAAAAGTATCTAATAATTATATATATATATATAAAAAAAAAAAAAAAAAATCCAATATCTTTAAAGACAATCAGTCTTTATTACCTCGGCACTTTAAATTAATGTAGGCATACTTAATTATAAGATGCATATTACAATGAACATGAGTACGTGCACGCGTACGCATGTGTGTGCGTGTATATGTATAATATAGAATAAGATTGAGAGAACGCCTTATTGATATTACTGTATCTATGTATATTTTTTATTTTTTCCAAGCGTTAATTAGAAAATATATTGTTCTGCGTTTCCACCACAAGTATCATTATATATGTTTTAAATTAAAATCTGAGAAAAAGTTCGCAAGTTTGTGGTTTTCAATACTAAAATTTTAAAATAATACAAAACATTAGTTAACATTGATAACATAACAAATTTTGTACATAAAAAGATATGAATTTTATCTCGTTTTTAAATTAACATATTGAAAATAACTTAAAAAACGACACAAATAATGTGTTCTTATTATTATTCATTTGACACTAATTATAGTCTTTAAGTTTTAAAATATTTTTTTATTTTAGATTAATGAGCAAATATTGTCTGTTTACCACTATTAATAATACAGAGACAGTAGTATTTCAATTCAACGTCCTCTCAAAATTGAATAAAATATTATATACATGTAACAATTGTGAAAATTGTTTTTGGATTATAATAATAAGTGTGGCGGAAACAACATTTTAATTGATCATTGTACATAATATGTGGATAAGGTATAATAAAAAATTATAATTGTAAAATTGAAATGGTGAGAAGGGCATACAGGTTTTTTTCTTCAAATTTTCGCTGAGCAAACGTATTTACAAAACTTATAATAAAAATTAAACCTAAGATTTTTGATTACAGCTACCAATTGGCATCACTCGGGCCATAACCAACATATTCAAAACATAATATTACATTTTAATGAAGTGATTTATCGTTAAAACATCTAAATAACAATATAATAATATTCATAAATGACATGAATGATTAAAACTATAACAAATATTAGACTACTGTTAACAAAAATTATACAATTAATTATTATGCGTGATATATATATATATATAAACTTATCATAACAAATGTGTACAGGACGTATAAAATAGTTGTTACTTTCAAACGAACACAACAAATGTTTTTTTCAATATAATATTATACCGTACATATATATATATATATATAGAATATTTTCATTATTTAAATAGCATAATATTTAAATCTAATTATAATTGTAACACCAAGAAAAAAAAAAAATTGAACATAAATTAACTGGTCGATATAATTAAAACAATTTTCATACGCTTTAAACTTTTCCTTTTAGAACACACGGTCATTTCACCTGAAACGAAAAAATTCATAAAAAAAAAATTAATTAAATATCACAACAGCGAATTAATTAAAAATCGATCATATTAGAACATTATTCGGTCCAAACTGCAAATACTTCCTACCGTTGTCGCATGCCCGGACATTAAGCCGGACATAATGCCGGTTGATTATTATCGGCTCAGTACTGTCTATTTATTGCGCTGCCGTCAACTTGTAGCGATTGTCAATTATAATATGACTTAATTCACTATAGTGCCCGTCGAACAATAAAATTGTACTTTTAAGGAACGCGTACAGCAGCCCGGTCAATTTTAACGAAAACTCGTCTCACACCGCTATATTGACTTTAAACCCGCCCCCCCCCCAAACCCCTCCCCATACCCGCATTTATGTCTACGCAACAATTAATACACACCGTGTACTAGCGGATCCATATTAATAATTTTGTCCGCGGGGGCGGGGGGGGGGGGGGGGGGGGGAAATTACTTTTGCTACCGCGCGTTCGCGCCTCGCGGTCATTGCGAACGCACCGCCGTGCCCCTCTCCCCCCTCCAATCTCCGAAACGCGGCCGCCGAGTCTCCCGGACGTACACGTCCGTCTCCCCGCTGTACAGTTTCCGGTCCGTTCTGTCCCGGCCCGCGGTTTCCAACGACGAAAATAATTGAACAATATAATGAAATAGCGTACGGAACCTGTGCGCCGCGCTTCGCAATAGCGGTAAATCGGACGTGCCAATAAAACGCGTCGACCTATGAACCGTCGATCGATTACGAATTCTTTAAAAATCAACGTGCCAATTATAAATGAAATAAAATTAACGAGCGTCGATAATTGCAGCGCGTTGTTAGTGATGAACATTATTATTATTATTGTTTACTATTATCGCGACCGGTTAAGGAAAAAAACAAAAACAGGTAGGTATCTAAGTACACATTATACGTTCCGGGAAATCGCGGTGCACGCGCGCAATACGACGCACGTCGAACCGAAAATAGAAAACAAGGGAATAGTAAAAGCAAAACACTAACGAATGCGGGTGAGATTTCCGGAGCGCGCGAACGACAACCCGAAGAAAAGGGAGGAGGGGGGAAGCGACGTTTTTTTTTTTGGTATCAAAAACCCGCGAGCGTTTTAATAACACAAATGCACTGGCCGAACTTCCGGCAACGGACGGGGACTGAGGAGATAACGCGCGTATAAAAAAAAAAAAAAACCGAAAACCGGAGAGAGAGAGGTAATTGACTGCGTCTACGACGTTATTTTTGCAAAGGCGCCACGCCGATAACGGAAAAAACAGAAGGAATGAGAAAAAATACCTTTGTATGGCTGCCCCGGAGAAGGAAACGGTCGAGTGTCGACTGCCAGAAACAAAACACTTAGATAATTTGCAATAAAGGCGCGCTATATAGACATATTGTGTACATTATATCGTATATAATAAAAAAAAAAAAAAAACAAAAAAAGAGTAGTATAACAATATTATTAAAAAATAAAAAATGAAATCCGGGTCTTCTGAAATAATAACGAGAAGTACGAGGCGCCCGAAAACCCCGAATGCGTTA